ACCTATGTTTACCCTGTAAACATAGAGATAGAAGACTATAAAAACCACCTTTTGTTACAAAGTTGGTTGTGGTCAGGAAAGTGTTTATAAAAACCAGACAAATTGGGGTTTTTTTTGTTTATATGAAACAAGGTGGAATCGTATTTTTTTTTAAAAGGCTCATCATTAATTTTTAAAGAGGCATGCCACATTGGATCATTATAATCCTGTATAGATGTGGCCGAACTGTGTGTGATGTGGGTCCGGTTTTTTATTGTCGTACCAGCCACAAATGTGTGGAAAAAAATATTCAGGAGTAAGGCTGGCTCCATTCAGCATTAGTGCCACTTGACCTGCAAAATAATTTCTGATAATACAGATGGCTTAGGCAAATTATATTTAGCCCCTCCACGTTTTCAACAACCCAGGGGTTGATAAGTAAGCAAGTAAATAAATAAAAAACAAAACAGTTTTGAGAAACGTTTTATACAAACTTACCTAAGCACTGCTTTTAATTTGTATTTCTCTGGCGTAGATTTTTATCTTTATGGTTGTTTGTGGAATTAGTTTTCCTATAAAAGCAAAATGACATCCAAATTAAGCGGGGGGGGGGGACTAAAGTTGTGAACAATATTTACCATATGATGAGATGAAGGAAAGGGAAGGAAAGGAAAGGAAGGAAAGAGGAAAGGAGAGAAGAAAGGAAAGGAGAGAAGAAAGGAAAGGAAAGGGAAGGGAAAGGAAGGGAAGAAAAGGAAAGGAGAGAAGAAAAGAAGAGGAAAGGGAAGGAAAGGACAGGAAGGGAAGGAAAGAGGAAAGGAGAGAAGAAAAGAAGAGGAAACGGAAGGAAAGGAAAGGAAGGGAAGGAAAGAGGAAAGGAGAGAAGAAAGGAAAAGGAAAGGGAAGGAAAGGAAGGGAAGGGAAAGGAAGGGAAGGAAAGAGGAAAAGAGAGAAGAAAAGAAGAGGAAAGGGAAGGAAAGGGAAGGAAAAGGAAAGGAAAGCAGGAGATATTTTCCCCCTCAAAAAATAAACGTTCAAAATGGCAATCCCACTGACATCCCCACTT